CGTGAAATAAATTGTATTATATATTTTCTCAGTTTAGACTGAATTTAAAGTTCGTAAGGATTAGAAATCAGGTTGACCCGTGGTCGTAGATTAAAAATAGCCATAGTGAAGGTAAAATTATTACGTTAAATAATTGTTTTTATACGAATTAAATATTGATTCAACGTTTATTTGTTGCAATACCGTGAAATAAATTGTATTATATATTTTTTCTGTTTACACTAAATTTAAAGTTCTGTTTACATGTTATAACAATTAGAATGTAGACGTTTTGCCGTTTCACGGTTTTTCCTCTGTTAATTATGTGTTTATAAATCATTTCAAACTAAAGCAGCACCATGCCCACCCTTAATTAAACCGTCTCAGTAGTTTACCGTAATTAATAATCTATTTTCGGAATTTATACGAGAATTTTTGAATTTTAGTAAATACTAGAGTCAGTGCATCGCGTATTGAAATAATAGCTTATACAGATAATCTTTTGAAATTACTCTTAATTAGGGAAAATCTTGAATCTTGTATGGAAGATGAAGATTTTCAGGAAATATTTATTTTTCAACAATGAATTTTTGTTTTATCGATTAATAACGTACGAAATGATTTTTGGAAAATTTTCTTCGTTTGAACGTTCGTTTAAGGTTCGACTATGATTATCAAATCTCTCGAAACACCGTAGAATGTTCAATTTTAAAAGTAACTTCTTCAATTTTTGGATAATCTGGGTAACGTGTTAGTGTTGACGATACACTTTCGAGTATAGACGTTAAAGTTCATAGAGTGGTCGGGGGCTACTAGCTAGCCTATGTCCACCCTGTACACACTCAGCCTTCTTGTAACACTTGTATACATTAGAATCAATTAGAATTTCAATACAATAGACTGAATAACAATTCATTTTAACTAATACCTATTAGAAATTTTCCTTTTAAAACAAATATAAATCATTTTACCAATTACTGGTACTTGCTAGACATTTAATATCAGACTTTAAATATTCTCCTTTCGGTTCTTTTAAATACAATCAAATAATTTCTTCAATTATCGATACTGACTTGGAATACTCCGCTTCGAATAAAATATTTCGAAATTATTTTGAAGGTTTAGGGAAATAAACATTTGAATTTTAGTCATCGTTGTTCTTCAGACTTGTCGAATAGGATATTGAAATGACTTTGAGAGGTTGCCTTTTCGTTACTTTTCTTCCAGCAATTGAAATTAATTTGAAATTTTTCATATATTTTCTCTGATATTGAATTTTGTTTACTAATAATTTACCATCCAACGAATTTGCATGAATTGCATGTTAAGTAGTTAGTTGATTTATTATTGTATATTGTGAGCTGATTTGGAACGAGCAAGAAAAAATTATAAAGCATAATACTATAATCCTATGCTTAAAATGTATTTTCTTGTGGCCCTCTATACTGACCATCTATACTGTCACTTGTAGAATCCAAACTTACTGACTCTTGTAGAGAATTTACTGTATTGGAGAAAGCATATCGCATACCCGCGAGGGAAAAGTGTCTCATGTGAAAAATTTTCATTTCATTGCTTGGAATATCTTCTAAAAAATGTCACAAGTTGAACTGTAATATTTTCAAGCGAGTACATTTTAGCTAACGTATGTTTCGTAATGTTATAATTAAGTAATTTTCCAAACAGAATTTTTCATTTTGCTCTTCTCAAAAATTTCATCTTTTCGACTTGTGACAGTTTCCTCGCGGGGCTGCGATATGATGATAATAAATGACTAAAAATGAGTTCATTTTTCATGTACATACAGTGACTCCCATGAATATTAGGACACTCGTTAGAACAGTGTAATTTTTTCAAAATTGGACCTAACGACTTGAGTTTTTTTGAGAAGTTACAAGGATTAGCATACTAGGTGACGTGCACAAAAAATAAAAAAAAAATTGCAATTTGTGTCAGGTTCAATTTTAACACATTCACGACGGGAAACGTAGTCCTACGTCATTTCAAAGTCTTTAGCAGAATACGGGCAATGTAGACCTAAATGATTTCAAAATTGGCGTCAGAATCTTGCCTTAGTCAGCTACAGACTTTTGGAAATTATATGCCGTATTCAGCTAAACGTTTTGTCCGGCTATCGCCTGTCGCGAAAGTGTTAAAAGAGTTATACTGCTCTAAAGAGTGTCCGAATATTAGTGGGAGTCACTGGGAGTTCTGAACCCTTCATTTACGAACGTCCAGTTTGCAAAATGTCAAAGTTAGTCGAACTAGAAAATCTCTTTTAAATCTCTGTCAAGTACAAATCCATCTCGTATTTAAAAAAAAAAACAAAACAAATTCAAAGAATTATGGATTTAAAAAAGCTGTGCTACATGCATGGGAAAATGTTCGTTTACCAATTTCGTGGTTTGAAGTTGCATTTGCTAACATAAAGCACCTGATCGTTAATATTGCGGCTGTATATCGATATATGGGTGTATATCGATATAGGATATATCGTGTTTCCGTCGTTAATTCTAGAAACGACAAGAGCAGTAATCGCCGCTAACTATACCGAAAACGATCGTTCGGGGCGACGTGCAGAGAATTATGAACAGCAGCACATGAGAAAGCACGGCCTTTGGCCGCGTTCAAATTTCTCCTCCGTATCGACAACGAATGAATCTTTCTCGCTATACAAGAGAATATCGATATACTAGGGTTGTTTAAGATTTCCTTCACGCGGGAATAAATTACGAGCAATTTAGAATACAAAAGGAGCAGAGCGGCGAGACAAAGAGATGGTAATAGGTTGGTAAACGTAGAAATATGTCAATTGAACATTACTTTACCGTTCATAAGTATTACGCTAGAACTAGAACGTACATTATGTTCGTACAGGAAGTATTATCTGATTTAAAAATATCGTCACCTTAATACTACAACTAAATAGACATCGTAAATTCATTAACGGAACAATCGAATTCATTGGCGAGTTTTAGCACTGTAACATAGAGTTGATTTTAAACTTATCCACTTTTAACATTTCCAAATACTGTTAGAGTTGTCTACTTTTAGCATACCACGCGTACACAGAAAATATTAATTTACGAAAATTAAGGAAGGAAGTGCGACGATGAAAAGTCAAATTTAATCATCGCCTTTTTTTAGAACTTACGAATACAGTTATCAGTGGAGTATGAATTATGTAGTGGTAGTATTAAGGCGACGATGTATTAGTACAAATGTATATGCTCGTTAAACTGAATATTTTTTTTTATTTGAATAATTTGGTGACGACTGTTTAGATATAGTTCACATTCAACGAACGTCTTAATACTTATGAACAGGAGTGCAAGTGATTCAATGGACATTAACCCCTTAACGTTCACGTTTCCCTCGATTCGATATTCAAAAAATGATCAATTTTATTTTCTTTCAAATTATTTCCTAGACGTATAGAAATAAGTTTCCCTTATTTATAATGCTGTAACTTACGTTTTTTGCTATTACAGAAAAGTTAACGCAACATGAAAACTGAAAGAAAATAATTGAAAAAGCTGAACTTATTGGACGATCGTTAACGAGCGTCAAGGAGTTAAGGAATTTAGAAAGAGGAATGTTGAAACTGAAAGTAAATGTTTTTCATAAAATTCCTAAGGTTTGTCAAGTGTACAGTTTCGAAACGTGAAAAAATTTAGTTTAAGATGACATGTGGTTTTAATTTTTAAACTATTCAGTTTGATTAATTTATGCATTTTTTAATAAACTGGTGAGCTATTATTAGTTAAGAATAATTTAGTTCAAAATGGAATGTAGTTTTAATGTTTAATCTATTCAGTTTGATAAATATATGCATTTATTAATAAACTAATAGGCTGTTATTAATTAGTATTAGTTAATAAGAGTCTACCAATTTATTAAAAAATGCATAAATGAATCAAACCAAACCTGTTAAAAATCTAAACCACAGCTGTTATCTTATGTTGTTACATCGTTTACATTGTCATTCATGAGATTTACCTAAAATCAATGTTTTACTCCAAGGACAAACTGATTTGAAAAAAAAATACGCAATTGAAGTTTGCAAAAGGTCTTGGCTTCTGAATTTAGCGTGTCACGTGATTTCTTCATAAAATATGCTAGGTGTAATCTGTACCTTCACATCAGCAATACAGATAGGTACATATTTTACCATCGTTAAGCATAACTACTTATAAGAAAATCGCGATTTTCTTCCGTTGAATCCGAGATGATTAAACATTTGCAGATAGTTAAAACTAAAAGTAGATATACCATAATTTATATCCCGAAAGAGGATAAATTCGTCTAAATTTTGCATCCCGTTCACTTTCCACCTTCTTGATTACGTTCCTTGCGGCACGCGGATCGTTTATTTTAAGCGAGTTAATTCGCGGTTCGTAGTTTCGTCGTGCTCTTATTAAATATTCTCTACACTTCGTTCGGGTACGTCCCATTTTTCTTATATGCCTCGCCTTACTCAATTATCCTCTGTTTAACCGGTTAACATTCAATTTTGTACGCTTTTTTTCGCGCGAACAATTCTTATCGAATTTTCCATTTTTCTCATTTTACCTCGTGGCCAATTCGAAGTTAAAACATTTGCACACCGCTCTTGGGAAAAAGTTACCTGTGTTTAACTTCGACCTACGTCATATGACTTCGAGTTTAATTTTCAAGTCAATTCCTCGTGAATATTCCCGCCTTGTACCGATCACAGAGAATATTCGCCGTTTTACACGTGTATAATTACTATACAAACATTTCTGACATGTACAATTAACGTTAGAGGTGTGTAGACAGTACGCGGAAAATAGTATTGCTACACGCGTATCGAGATTCAATTTTGGTACGCTGAAATACGAGCGAAGGCTAGATATATCGAAAGGAGGAACCGAATTCAGACTACGTAATAACTGTTATACCGAATGTCGTTAGGTCTGCTAAGCTGAGGAACGGTAGTCCCGTCACGTAGTTCGTTTTGGTCGGGATTTCAGGGAAGTAAAATCGAAGGGCCCACTTACCAGGTACCACTGTTCCTTAAAGAGCGGATCCGTGAACAGGTTCTGAAGAGGCACGCCTCTATTTCTCTGTCGATGGAACGTGGCCTGCCTAGGACGTGGTCCAAACTCATCGAAAAACGCCGGATAATCGGAGAACGCGAACGACGTGGGCACGAAGTCCCTTTTCTTGCGTTTCTTCTCGTGTTGCTGCTGGAACCATCGTACCTGCAAAAAACACCAAGAGATTTTTCTTTAGACCATCATGCACGGATTTCAGAGGCCAGCTAAAGACTGAAGAGCACTCGGGGCAACAAGAAACATGTGTCACGTGTGTGCGGATCGTTGAAGTGACACGTGAACGTTAAACGAGAATGATTTATAGCAATTTATTTAGATTACTGAGCCTTGTATTTTTCGTATCGAATAAAATTCGTCGATTTAGTATATGTAACCCTCGTACGCTCCTCGGGTGAAAATTCACCCATAGCCTCTTTCCAGATGCTGTACTATGTTTGATTTCTTTTTGAACGTGTTACAACTTTTGAAATTCACAAATTTAACTGACTTTCAATGAAACATAGTGTAAAAGATTACTAATAACATTAAGCAAAATATAGAGCGACAATGGGTGACCCGAGGATCTCTTGCGTAACTATTTCTGAGGAACGTATGATGGTTAATAGAGTTGCACATTTAAGGGGGTACGTCATCCTTAAGCCTCTAAAAATAGGGTAAAATTTGCGAATTTTTTTCATAGGTAACTGCCAAAGTTTCAATTTTTCAGAGGATATAAATATAATTTTCAGCTTTCTTCATCACTGACGTTCTTTTGTTCCGCTGTGAAATTACAATACAGGACTTGGGTCAGTTTGATTTTGAGATAAAGATTTGTTTTGTTTGGGAAAGATGAATAAACTTGATTAGTAATCATTTTTATGTGGATTTGCAGAATTAGGTAATAGATCGTGTAATTGAATTGATTTACAGGTAGAGTGGTGTTTGTAATTATTGGAGTAATTTTATGAATTAGAAGAAATAAATATTGTAAGTTTTGTGGAAAATGTGTATCCATCGTTTATGGTATTTCAAAACTTGATGCTTTGTGCTGCAAATGATAGAATTGATTGTAGGATTTATTTAAATGGTAAAATGATAAAAAGAACTGCCTCTTTGGTATTTCATTATTAATACATGCTAAAATCAGTTATTTAAAATCAACGTTTTAGCAAACTAATATTTCTGTATCATCAAGGTATGATAAATGGTGATTGCGACATCCAAATACGTGCGTTTCAATTAATAATCGCAAGCAAGCTTCAAATAAATTCTTCTTTCCTTTCATAGCATTATAATTAGTATTAAATACATTCATTTCTCGTCAAACATTGACATAAAAAGTGACAATGAATACTCTATTTTTCGAATAATTACAGACGGTTTACATTATTTTACGTAATATTTAATTTTTCTCAGGTAAAAAATGAGGAAAATGTCAGGGATAGATATACTGCAGTGAAATTTTAATGTTCCGCGCTGATAATCGTCTGCTTTTGTTTTCTTCTTTTCAGGCGGAGTTGGCGTTATCGTTACGCTTTTTTTTTTTTTACTTAATGCTATGATACCCCTTACGTGATTATTAGAAATATGCACATTAAACATACATTTGTACAAAAAATCTATGTACTCAAAGTATTAAACAGAAATCTAAATGTATAAGTAAATACAAGGTAATATACATTCAACATAAACTACATTTATAAGTATAAAGAGTGCTTCTTGAGAAATTTGAAGATAATTAAGAGAGGTATAATAAATGGTTTACTTAAAAATGCATCTATAGAACAAGAAGAAAATCCAACTCTAAAAATCCTATAAATCATGCCAGTTCATACACCACTACCGTACAACGGGCACTGCAATATTACATGATTTAGATCCTGCTCTGAACAACCACACTGACAATCAGGGTCAGCGGCAAAGCTAACTCTGAAAAGTGAAGCAGCCGGCTAATAATGATTTGAGTGAAGTCTGTTGGTCCAACTAACGAAATCTCTAGAAAGAGTATATGTGCAAACCTATAAGTTACGTTAACCCCTTAACCTATGATTTTTTTTCTGATTATGCATCTAAGCGTCAGCTATTTACTGTTTCAGTACTGTATCAGGTAACAAAAGTAATCCTCAGTTTTACAAACTAAAACGAAAGTTAGGATTACAATTAATTTTTGTCACATCTTGACCAGAATCTCTGCCACGAGTCTCACTCGTTGTTGTAGATTAAAGGGTTAATGCTCATTCAATAATATTTCCTCCCTCGTGTCGCAGTGTCGCATTGTTAATTATTCGAGTAATTTTATGAACGATAATCGATTATGGAAACGAAGTTGACGCTTCTTTCAGCTGAAACGGTTTGCGATGTGTCATCACGTTTCAACGGTAGCAAGTACCGGCTTGGGCAGACTATTAAAAATTTCGCGTGTTTGCGATTCACGCGTTGCATTTTTAAACAAGCCCACCCATCTCTCCGCGCCTCCAGTGACTGGCACAGCTCGATTTATCGCGAAAAATACGCAAGCGGTGCACGGCCAGACGAAAATTTCGCAAATATATACGGATTTGTCCGTATGGCGCCTTGTAAACGGGACCATCAACGAGCAGCGTTTTCGCGGTCGAGCTTCAGCTCGGCGGAGCGTGAAACACGCGACGCCCCGGTCATCGTTTCATTCATATCGCCGGACGATTCGACGTTAAAGCCTCGCCCCGCTGAAATTCACGGCCCCTGAATTTTGGCCAGCCTCCAAAATCCCTAGGCTCGCCCCGGCGCGGCGTTCCGCGTCGATAAGTGTCACGGTCGTAGCGTCCACGTGCGTCCGAATGTTTGGAAAAACGTGAATATGTGGCGAATTGAAACGATATGGAGATTGAAACGATAAAAAGGTTCTTGCATTAATTGTGACTCGTTCGCTTTTCCCTCTTCAATCTTTTGTCTCCTTCCAGACAATTTTTCGTCCCTACAATCTCTGTGTAATTTGGACTCCTGGCATTTCAATTAGACTGTACCGAACGAAGTTGCCACTTCTTTAGGTCGAAAGGAAAACGACGAATTTTCAGAAATAATAGTCTGTATTAATTCCATTTCTGTGAAAATTAGCATTTTTTAATTCGATAAATTATTCATGAAGGCTGATACGTATAACTTGACGATTTGAAATTACTCGTAAACTATTCGTTATATGAAAATGTGTACGAAGCAAAATTTGCATGATTTCAATTTTTAATTATTCATATTGATTTTTTAACTATATTTCAATTATGTTGCAATAATTTTTCTCTTTCTGCATTGCTGATATATGAAGTTTTGAAGGGCATCATGATTTGTTTAACCCTTTCACTGCTGCTGGCACTTTGAAAATTTGCTGGCACTGTGCCCTTGACGCCTATAGGCGTTTTGAAAATTTGCGAGCACAGTGCCCTTGACGCCTATAGGCGTTTTGAAAATTTGCGAGCACAGTACCCTTGACGCCTACAGGCGCTTTGAAAATTCTCTCGCATTGTTATTGGCGCATTGTAGCACTAATTCACCTTAATTTGAACCTTGGTTATTGTTATCTGTGCACTTCCACCTTAATTTTGAAAAAATTTATAATCGCGTAACAACATATTGTAGGAAACGGAATGCAAAATGCAATTAGAAATTGGTGAAATATAAGTAGGATAAACGAAACTAATAACGCTATATAATTAGGATAAACAAAACTGATAACGCTTTATCGCTTCGCAGGAAAAAACGAATGGCCCTCGCTCTTGTTTTCCCTATTTATAAGGTCTTCGCGACCCGCGCTCGCTCTCTCTCACTCTCTTAGCAACTCGCATTCGCACAAACATACTCGTTCTTGTTTAATAACAAGGAACTCGGAAGACCACGGCCCCCATTTCCCTTATTCGTATCGCAGGATTTTTAACAAAACAAGCTCGACCATATAATCGGCCCGCTCCGGTCATTGACCTCCTACAATATTATAACACTAGAAATGAGAATATTTGGCAAAGTAAAATTATTTTTAGTTCAAACCCGACTATTCGCATGTAACAAAGTAAGAATTTGCATTGCTCAAAATTTTCATCGCTTAGGTTACTCGTTTAACACGTTGACTGCCACGGTGGTCATCAGTGACCGGAGGACCTCAAATGTTTAGAATAATTGAAATAAAACGAATATCGTCCACTAAAAATTTCGAACATCATAGCTAACTAGACATTATTTTGAATCAAAAAAAGAAAAATAATAATAATAAAGCATAATAAGCATAACATAATACTGTACTGAGAATAATGAAAATTTTCTTGTGGCCCCCTGAGCAAAACATGTAAACCTGGCGTGGCAGTCAACGTGTTAATTACAAATACACTAAAAATTAATTAAAATATTGTAAATGAAATATTTGAAAATAAAGCCCGATCCATTTTCATAGTTATACGCACGATTTAAAATAAAATTAGCTATTTACTATTTAAAATAATATTCTGCCCAGCTCTGTACTCAACCATATGTAGCTCTAGCCAAGTGCGATTTAATATTTCCATTTTACCAATACATTCTCGATTCCTTAACTGCTCGTTTAATTGAATTTTCAAGTAACAACTTGTTACTATCGATTGTGCCTGTAACCTAAAATACAAATTTTTTTATCTTACGCAAAAATTGTACCACGCTCACTGTTCGCGAGTTTGCACCGAGGTATAATCACGACTTGCTTTCGATGCAGCTGGTTCAGGATGTGTCGAACGTAACAACGAAAGGATACAACGGTGTTAAAGGGGGATGAGTTTTTTTCGCTCGAGTTTGACACGATGTTCAATACACGCGATATCCAATAAAAATGGCACAACGTAGGGGATTACATGATAGAAAAGTGATGAAGATCGAGAGCGTTATACTCTATGTATTTACAAGTTATAAATCGAATATTTATAGAGAAAAGGATGCGTGAATCGGATTGCAGAAACTCTGATTGGAGATTAATGGAGAAGTATTGATGTTTGCTTTGCATGCATGTGTGCACAATTCGCGAAGGAAGAAGGAAAAAAAAAAACGAGCAAAAAGTACGAGGACATGCTTCAGAAGCTTTGCTCACAGATTAATACCAAAATCTATACATTATCGGTATTTGCTCTGTACGTTTAATATGTGTCAAAGCAGAATTAAATACGTTCGTGAACACCGTG